TATAAAATCATAACACATTGATAAAATGAAGTATGTAAGTCAAAAATATTTGGTAAGTTATATTTTTAAATATTAAAAAGTTAAATAAGAATACAAAAATTCATACAATATTTTTAAAGGGCCGTTATATTTGTAATGTTGGAGTACTTTTGTCCAGTAATAATCGGTAAGAGTCGACTTAAGTGCACTGCTCTCCGTCCGTTTGCAATTAAATGTTTCCATTTCAATGGCGCACAGGAATAAGACAAAGGATTGAGTACCTTTGAAAATGCTGAAGAGAAAATCTCTTATATTCTATGGTTAGAATATGTTTGGTTTTGGTTCTTATATATATATATATGGCCCTAACTCGATTCGGCTTAAATTAGAAGACGCGGTCGCGAAGCGGCTGCGAGCGGGGTAGCAGAAGCTGGCCGGGGTGGGTAATGGCGAGACGCGCTACGGAGCGCGTACGCCCTTCGGAGCAAGAGGGGAACATCCAGGTTCCCACACAGGAGGGGTCATCTACAAGACGTAGATGGCCCGAGGTACGTCGGTGTGTTCCTTTTTAGGGTATACCTGCTTCCCCGGCTACTAGTACCTGGAGACGGCGTGCGGTTTTTGGTCGGTTCGAGTCCGACATAATCACCCATTGGTAGGTGGTATCCGAGGGGAGTTCCACACAGAAAAAAAAGTGGTTAAAATATGAAATTGCCATTGTATAGTAATAGATACTTTAAATTGATATAAAACCTTCAAGGTGTGAGATTTTCGTGTCAAACTTTTTTCACATGAACATCCGATTTTCGACTTTTAATTGTTTTTTTATTTAGCTTAGACGTGAAAGATGGACACCTCGGCAATCCGAGTCATTTTTGAACACAAGTACCGACGCGGAATTAACGCAGCCGAAACAGCTCGCAATATCAACGCTGCATTTGGAGAGGAGACTGCTAATGAACGCACCGTGCGTTTTTGGTTTAAACGCTTACGTAATGGAAACTTCGACTTGAAGAATGAACCATGTGGAGGACCGCCCACACAGGTGAATAACGCTGAATTGAAGGAGACGGTGGAAGCCCATCCGAGTCAAACTACCCTGCAATTAGCGACATGGTTTAACGTCACCGTACCTACAATATTGACTCATTTGCATTAAATCAATGAGATGAAAAGATATGAAAAATGGGTGCCTCATGATTTGACTGATCTGCAGAAAGAAATGCGTGTTGAAACTTTGCCTTGTTGAATCGGTACATGTGATGAAAAGTGGATTGCTTACGATAACATTAAGCGAAAAATGCAATGACCCAAGGTCAAACGCCGCAACTGTGCATTAAAGCAAAGCTTACCAATAAAAAGATAATGGTTAGTGTTTGGTGGTCTCTTCATGGTGTTATTCACTATAGCTTTCTCAGATCTAGTCAGGCAATAACAGCAGATATTTACTGTGCTGAACTGGCGAAACTGGCAGTGAAACAGCTCCGACTCGTGAATCGATCGTCATCATTATTGCTCCATGATAACGCAAAACCACACACTGCACGATAAACCATTGTAACTTTACAGAAGCTGCAGTTAGGAACCTCATCCTCCTTAATCGCCAGACCTTGCCTAAATGGACAACCATTCTTGTGATAAAAAAAATCTTCCAAGGAGGTAGTACAAAATATTTTCACACAGTTTCTCGAAAGTAGATTCTCCCGAGTTGAGACGAGTTATTATGTCACCAGATTGCCTTTATAAATATTTAACTAATAATTTTAAGCCTAATGATGGCAATACGGCTAATGACATTCGAATTTCGTAATGGTACACTGAGATGTAAATTATTACTTTTAACCGGTTCAAAAACACAAAAGAGGAGGTTATCAATTCGACTGTTTTTTTTTGGTGTGTTGTTACGCGATATCTCTGTCAATTGTAGACCTATTTTCAAAATTATTTTTGCAATCGAAAAGGTGTGCTCCCGAAGTGGTCCCATTACAACCAAATCAGGATCTGATGATGGTATCTGGGGATGGGAGAAATTGAGGAAATCCCTCAAATTTTATAGCATAACAACGTGTTTTAGCTTTCTCTAGCTTCATAGGTCTTTGCGTAAAGTAGTCGTTATTTCATGTTGCTAAGCTGATGATGGAAGGGTCCTTGACCTTTAGGAGTGAGAGGATAACTCTTTCAAAAAATTAGTCATGTAATAACATCGTTTTTTGTCTTTGAAGATATTTGATAGGTGTTTGTGTTGGGTTGCAGAGATATGTACACAAAAGAGTAATATATGAGATTACAAAACATTGTATACATTACGGTACGTAGTGTTTTAAATATCGTACTTAACTACTCATTATAAAGATATCTTACACTAAGGGCCGGTTTTTCAATCCTCAGATAAACAGTAAGGTAGCATTTATTCCACAGTTAGCGTAATTTTTAATTTTTCAATGGTCAGATAGCTGTTATCGGATTAATAAAGCTTAAATCTGAGGAATAACTTTATTTGTCGTTTCACGCCTCAGTTAGTGATATTATCTGTAGAATAATGTTTTTGACTTTTGTGTATTTGTTTACATTCTCTAATATTTGTTGTAGTAAAGTTTATATACGTTGGCATTATTGAGTATTTAAATTTTCCTGTGTCCTGGAAGAAAAGAAAGGGTTTTAAGAGAAAGATATTACAATACTTTGTATGATGATGAACAATTTTATTACAAGTTATTGATTCTAATTTATACGAAAGTAACACGAATAATAATAATATTCTATACCACATTCACTCAACACCATATAGTCCCAAACTAAAAGCTCGAAGCTTGTATTATGGATACTAGACAACTGATTTAAATACATATACTATTTTATATATTTTTTGGTAAAAACATACATATCATGCATAGGCACCGACTTTAAACAATCTAGAAGGGACTATTGCTATTGTAATGTTGCCTGTTATATTGATTGGACTTATTTTAGTATTTTTACTTAGATTTGAAAAAAAATAATTATATAAGTTTTAGTGCTCTTTGTCAGTATTGTTTGAAGTCGCTTCAACTTTTTTTTAAATTTTATTAAGGGATTTATTAAGTTTATTGTTTTCACGTCTAACTACCTATTCGGTCAGTTACCAAAACGTAACAAGGTCGTTCGCGGATAATTGTTAGTTATCATTATTTGAATACTGGTAGTCTGATTGCAAAGGTAAAGTGGTAAAGTGGAATTAGATTTATACCTCGGCATCCAACAACAGTGAATAGATTTTGAATGTTTTTTTATTTTTAAATCGAATTCTCCGATAATAGTTTTACATTGCATTTTTGTGTGTGTTGATTAAATTCGCTGATATTGCTACATTGAGTACATCAATTCAAATGTTTAAGCTAACTTAGTTATTTATAATTTTTCATTTATAACATTCCATTTCATTTATAACAACCTCATTGCCATCGATTATATCTGTTACTATGTTATCGATGTTACTGTTTTATTTTGATTAAAACTAGTATTTATTCATCTAGGATATAATGTAACTTAAGCACTAAATCATGTGTAAAAATGAGTAAAGCATAACATCTAAATGGACTTTGCATTTATTAAGGGCATTTCAAGCAATTTTGGCAGGATTTCAAGAAGGAAAAAGGTTGGTAGTTGGCTAGTTAGATTGGGCTTTGTCTCACAGTAATGCAAATATATAGCTCGACGTAGCATTTAATTACGTACATATTCTATTAAATAGTGGTCTATTCTAAATCTAACAGCTTACCTACAATATGCTTTCAATTTTTGACCACAATATACTGACATACCCAAATAAATTTACCAAACATTTATATTAGATGTATATTGTAAAATAATTAAATAATATTTGTACATCATGTCCACTCAGCAGAATACGGTAGGAGTAAACATGTTGATTGCGAACACTTGATGGCTGAAATAGCGTGATGGATGACATAACATTTTAATTGTATTAAAACCGAGCGGGAATCAGTAAAATATAATTTACTACATTATTATTCTGATTTTGATTGTCATCGAAATCATTAAAGTAACCTTTACCGAGCAGTGAACCTCCAATACCCGCCGATTCTGTAATTTTGAATTCTTTCTTTTTGTTTAGAGTAACGCCTACTTAAGTTACTTTTCCAGTATCCTTCTGATAATATAACTTCTAACTTTAGCACAAAGAAAACTTTATTTAATTATATCCTCCAGTAAGAGATTAGGTAAACTGCTCAAGCTTTTTTACCTTCAACATTTGTAATTAAATAATATATACCTAGACTATCTAAATGAAAATTTGATGTAAAGATAAAAAGTTCAACAATAATTGCTCTAGCAATGTTTAATAGAATTAAGAAGTTTTTTTTCGATAAAGTATAGAAAAACTTTTCTTGGTTAAAAATATATTATTATTATATTAATTCGATGTATTACCATTACTTTGTGCCGGCATCGCATTAGTGACTCTTGAGATTCAAGGTGTCCATGAATCGGAAGAAAACAATTACCATTACGATTATTACCATTAATTTTCTTTTTCTATACCATAAGAAAATATGTTTATAATTAAACCTATTTTAAAACTGTAAAGTATTTTCCACAATTATCAAGAGTTTATATTAGGAATTTCTATGATTATTTTGACTTTAGAAATACTAATCGTTGCTTTCAACAGTTCCTAAGATACTGATTTTCCCATAAAATCAAACTTAAGTCTCTATCAAGTGGGAGGCAGGAGGCTGCGTATCAGTAAGAGCTGCCGAGGGTGGGTTGCGAACGCTGCGCGCCAGTCCGCGTGCGAACGCTGCTTGCGATTCACGTGTTGATCCTTCTCACACTTTTGGAGGGAAAACTTGGAACGGGAAACTTGTGCGAAAAAATGTTCAAGAAAATTGGAATGTGGAACGTAAAATAAAAACTTGGAACTGCAGTGCACTTTATAAAGTATGTGGATTTTTAATGTTGGTGATGCGGCAAAATGACTTAGATGGATAATTTAGATTGTGGTGTTTTGTGATTGCAGAATGATGAAAGGTTTGTTCTAGATTAGAATTGTTTTATCGCATAATTCATAAGCGTCAGTTAAACCCTCACACTGCAGTGTAAGTGTCAGACCCAAATATATTATCACTTAAGGGTAAGTAATAATATATTTGGGTCTGACATACATATTAAGGCAAATACTGTCGAAAATATACGAGTGATTAATACACAGACATCAGTATCTCAGAACTCGTTTCAATTTGAGCTTTCCTTAGGTAGGACCACGAAGGTTAATTTTCTAATTTTCTATTAAGGTCTACAACATTACCTTCAGTTGTAATAAATTAAAAATTATGCATTTATGCAATATTTACGTAAAAATTATTACGTAGTAATATGAAAATTATGCATAATTTACGTAGCGATTCCCATTGATTTTAATTAAGTAGTAACATTGTCTTAAAAAAATATGTGTTCATCCAAACTGGTAAAGATCAAAAGAAATAGATGATAAACTTATTTTATCACAAAATAACTTTAACGAAGTATGAACCCTAATCTATGTTAAGCGATGAGTATATACTTGATTTACTTAAATTGCCGAGCCAGACAACTATATTTGCATTTTAAACGTAGTGTAAATGAAATTCTCAATTTAAAAGCTGAGCAATATTCAGCAAATGGGTCGCACTCAACTCTCGCCAGTAAATAAACTCTCGGCTTCCACGATAGAAGTTTACTCTCTCTGATTTATGTTATGACCTAGTATGAGTGACACCACGCTTAATATTCAAAAATTAACTATAGGTATAGGAAGGAAGCAATTTTATAAAAATTTGTTAGTAAAATTTAGATTCATCAAAATTTTATAAAAGTTTTTGGTAGGCTTTAATTTTGTTATTTATTAGTTTGTTTACGGAGTTCTGATATTATGCTTAGGCTTATGGACTACAGTTTATTTTATTCATATTGATTCTAGACTTTCAAATCTATGTGGGTAATGTAGCCGTTATTAAATTATTATAACCAATTAATAAATCACGTTAGTAACTTCTCTGCTTACTTATACTTGATATAACTTATCAGCTTAGTTTGTTTTAAAGTGGTTTTGGCACATACAACATTAAAATTACCACTTCTTATATAAAAATGTATCATTATGAAAGTATATATTTTAGTGGTTTTGCCAGGACAAACATAAATTTTAAAACGTCATTTTATGTAACGTTGTAGGCCAAAACCTCTTTTCTAAAGAGAGGCCTATGTCCAGCAGTAGACTATTAAAGGCTGCTGATGTGTTGATGATGTAACGTTGAAGCTTAAACAGTTAACGTTTTGAATATTATTTTTAATAATTAATAGACCTCCCTTTATTAAGGAGTGTAGTGGCTTTAGAAGTCAGTTTTTATTTGATACACGGGAAATTAAATTGTTTTCTTTTAACATAATAGCTCAAGTGAAATTTGAAATCAAATTTCATCTAACAACGATTTTGCTTTCATATCATTTCAATTGTTTCAGTGTTAGTATGTGTAGCCAATATTGTAAAATTAAAATAAAAACGACCGATCATCACGTTTATACGTGTTTATAAAATGACTAAAAGTGTAGCTAAGACTAAAAAAACTGACATTGTTCTGCCGGAGAACCCTAACACATTTTTCTAGGTCTTATCTCTCTGTAGCTCATTAGTTAAGTGTTGTCAGTATATTTAAATTATCTGCTGGCTTGAGCCATACATGAATTTTAAAAATCTTATGAACTCCTTGCACTTTGTTCTCGTTTATTCTTTCGAGAAATAGTTTAGTAATTTAAGTCGGGTATAAATTTATGTTCAAATTCCACAAATTATGTTTATTTGAAACAAATCGTTTATTATCTTTACCTATACTTATGTATTTACTAAGCACTTACAATAAAACTGGAGAGATTGATGCTTGTTTGTGTGTTTAATTAAAGGTATAATCTCAGGAACTATAAGAAAGATTCGATCAGACAATTTGTACTGGAAAGAGACTTTAGACTATGTGACATCACAGTAAGACTATTAGAAACGGAGCACAAACGTGGATGAAACTGTATGGAATAGCTAGTATATAGAATACTCGTATGGTGAAACTATATATTGATATCTACACAAATAGGTACAAGAATTTAAAATAATTTACTTATATCTATTGTAAAACAAAATTATTTTTATTTTTCATCCAATAAAAATGTGGTACAGCTGATCTCTTAAACTAACATGTAAATGACAATAATTATAAAGTTTCACACATAAAAGATAGAAGTCGGACGATGGTGCCTGAGCTAGTAAAAACTGTGTCACGGATTTTTTGTGAATATGAGAAACGCTGAAAATAATTCTTTTTTTTAAAGACTCTTATTTTTGAAACACAACTCCTGCATTAGGAATATTTCCTGTGTCGCGGGGGATCTTATAAACATACATGAAACGGACACAAAGAACACCCAGACTCAGAACAACAATTTGTGGATCACACAAAGTGTCGTCCCATGTGGGGTTTGAACCCACAACACATGGCGTAGTAGGAAGCGGCGTGGCGACCGTTTAAATCACTACGCCATCCGTGCAGTCAATCCAATTGATGAATAATGACTTGGATAATTTTGTACAACATACGAAATTCTTAGAAAGAACACGTAGATACAGAAACTTATTATGAACATGATTCCTGATAGGCTAATTCGTCGACTTAATATAAACATTAATATTATTTTCCAATCAAACGAATAAAAAAAACAATTGAAGTTAAATAATTATAAGGTCCAGGTGCTACTCAAATATAACACTATTGTTATTCCTCCCTAAAGCACCTTATCTTCTACATAACTCGGTAAAGGAAGGTAAAAATGGTACGTAAAAATGTTAATGTCAAGTATAAGAGTAAATCTTTTTTCAACAGATTACACAGTACAATGGGTGGTTATAACACTTGCGGTTTTGGAAGTTAGTGCGAGCGACAAGCGACCGCGATTTGTCACGGAACCGCCCGCTCGCTTACTATGGCCCGCCACACGCGGCGCACATGCATTGTGCCGGGCCATGGGACATCCACCTCCTGACATTCACTGGGTCACGGCTGAAGGACAACTTTTAACTACCATACCGGGGTTGAGGTAAGTTTATTTCTTTTTTAATATGTGTATAGATAGTTCAACTCAGTTGTGCAGTGACGCGGCAGTCGTCGTCCGAGCAAGACGAATACCACACGAATGAAAGTTGTATATTTACAAGCCCACGCACACATAGGGCCGCGCGCACAACTGAGTTGAACTATCTATAATGATTTTTTCACGGTTTTTTGTAAGAATTTAGGTTTTAAAGGAAGGCTCAACAAAAGAGACTTCACAAAAGTCGTACTCAATTATAAATACCGCCAGTGACTGGACATTATTAGTGAACACGTATAAAAATCATTACACAATACCGAAGGACATCTGTGCCTTGGCGTCCACACCAGACATATTTCTTTATGCAATTTCAATTAAGCGTGTACTACTAGTAGAACTCACGGTGTCGTGGGAAACGAACATCCCTAAAGATCACGCTTTAAAAAGAAACAAGTAATTTGACTTAATCAATGAAATAACTATAAATTGTTATATCGTTGCGTTGTATGATGTGGAACTGTGTGCGAGGGTATACCAGCTAAATTCCATATAACCTGCTTACAGACCTTGGATTGCCAAGAGCTTCAGTAAGCTCTTTTCTTGAACGAATATCCAAAGCGGCATTGCTAGGCTCGTATCAAATATGGTTAGGTAGAGGGGGTAACACAGCAAACAATGGAGGAGTAATCCCTAAAACTATATCTGGGTCGCAATACCCAGGTGCTGTCGAAGTCGCATGTGTTGCACGGCCCCAGTGGGTACTGGGGCCGTGCAACACATGCGACACATGCACGGTGAATCCATGGAACGCTAAAAAATAGGTCTTTTATAAGAGGCCCTACAGATATCGAACAAGATCCGTTTTAAATAAAGTTAAGTTTGAAATAAATAAACAAGACGTCTACACCCACTTATATTCTAGTGGTAAGATAATCTGTTGAAAACTGCAACTTACTCGTATTGATACAAAAAAAAGTATTTTAAGCAAAAGAGGATTTGAAAATTCTGACTCTTCCGTACATATTAATAGAAGACATATCGTGTCAGTCAAAATTTCACCCATACACACATTAACTTTAAACCTATTTTGACATCACATAACTTTTTTATTGGTTGAATAACTTTTATCAAACAGAAATTTGCAACAAACGTTATCTTAACTGATGGGTTCATCCTCACCTGACTTGAAAGGATCCAAACGTTTGTAGTCTCTAGAAATTTAAATCACTGTATCTCTCTTTACCATCATAATTACACCATAATTACATATAAACCCTCTTCATATTCATGTTTCAGTATTCCAACTCCTGGAATATGGGATTTTTAAATCATTTACAAAACTCAAACTGTTTGATGAATACAATAAATTTCTGTTGAAATATCAAAGTATACCCTACTACACTGCTTCATGCTGAATAGTATTTATTTGCACTTAGAATACAAAATTCAATAGAGTGTCAGTACGCTACCGCAAGGTTATGGAATTAAAACCCTCTGCGAGGTCCCTACTAAATTTATTTAATGTAAAACAAACCGTTTATCCTAAAAAATATATTTAGTTGGTGCTCCTAGAAGGAATTCTTAACCTACGAGCAATGTCTTAAAAACATTCCTCCGGTAAGGTTAACATAAAATAACTTTATTTACAACAGGCAATAGAGAGTGTCTTGAACTCAATTTGTATTAATGTTATCACGAGTTGCTAAGACTTATCGCTTGATCAGTCTTTCGATTGCTTCAATTGGGTGTCGGTGTAGTGCGGGCTGAAGTCGACGACAGCTCCATTAAATAAACTACTCTAACTTTACCTATATTTTATAGGAAAGCGATGAGCGCACGAGCAACTTAGTATTTACTGCGAACACCCGATATGAATTCCGGACTATGTTTTGAAGTATGCATGTAGTATTTTTATGCTTCGTGAACTAAACAAATTAATGGAAAAGCTTCTGATATATGTAGACAGGGAAAAAATACTTGGCAAATAGTTTAGTATTTTACGTTGCGGGTTAAGAAGTTCATATTTAATAGCTTAGCCATTTTAATAAATTTATTTATTGGATTTACACATGGGAGCATCTTCTGACTGTGTTATATGTTAAGAACTAATTAAGTTTACCTACGACTCGAGATATTTTTTCTTGCAAGACCAAAACTTATTATGTACTTCGACGTTTGGCTTGCATGTTTTTGTTGTATGCTCATGTCATAAGAAAATTCGTTTCAATTCATAATTAATGTGTTTATATAATATTTGGTATTCCTTTCTAAGGAGAGGCCTATGTCATTAATAAAAAAGGCTAATATGTTTCTTTACCTAAACATGTGGATAAGAGAAAGACAGAATGACAATTATTTATGAAAGTTACAATTTTCTGAAATATATTATTAAGTGGATGATATGTTTACCCGTTAAAGTCCACAAAACTTATCTACACTTGAACAATTATCATAATTAAGCAAATATTGGAACGTTCTCGAAATAATATATATCTCTACCTAAACATGTGGGTAAGAGAAAGACAGAATAACAGTTAATTTTTAAAAGGTAAATTTTTTTGAAATATTTTATTAAGTGGATGATATGTTTACCTACCCGTGAAAAGTCCACAAAACTTATCTACGCTTCAACAATTATCATAATTAAGCAAATATTTGAACGTTCTCGAAATAAAAATAAATCATTTTCCTTAAAAGTTTATGAAAAAGTTGTGTCAATTAATCTTCGCTGAAATTTTACAAGAAAAATGTATCTACATTAAGTCAGCGCCGGGTGTTCAGAAGTTTTTGCTTTCAGGGTGTCTAATGACTAGCGTCAAGCGACTCGACGAGTTTTGTATTTTTAATAAAGCCTTGTCCAAGTGTATCGGTAACATTACAACTAACTTTCCTGTGGTATAAAACTGCGCTGTTATAGTTTTTAACTTCTTTTTACTTAAAATAATAATTTATTACTATGTCAACTCTTCCTCCGTATTAGAACATAGTCGTTATATTTCAATATTTTTCAAGACAAAAAAGGCAAGCACTTGTATATGTAGGTACACAGCTTTTTTCACACACAATTTTAGACTTGAAACAAATAAATACATACACGTATCTTTTTTAATGGCCACTGAAATATTATTTGTGTATCATGGCAGATAGGTGTGGATTTACGCATACAGCTCATGGACACAAAGTACAAAGAGAGTCAAGCTCATTATAGATTATACAAATAAAGCCATATGTATCGAATCGCCAAAACTTGCTGTCTGAGGGTGAGGTGACCACTTGCAAAATAAGTGATTTGATGACCGATCTTTCTAAATCTGATAAAAGAAACATTGCTCGTGTCCACAGTATATATATTCAATATATTCATCATATCTAATATATTCGAAAAGAAAGACGACTCTTGTTAAATTATTGATAAATTTTGAGTTGAGGGAAATATTTTAAATAGTTAACAACGATGGCATAAGGTCAAAGACCAGTCAATTTTGCCATAGTATTGTCATCAAATTGGACGTAAAATGAATTGTGAACTAACTAATTCTAGTTTCCCCACGGAGTGCCAGTAATAAATTGGCTGAGTTTCTGATCAGAGTCCGTTAGGGCCAACTTGTGAAGCGAGGACGTGTCAGTTCGACGTACCTATGTGTTGAGTTGGAAACTTTGCCGATCTTCCATACACTTCGTGGGCTCAATTACTGAAGACTTGTCAGTTTGCTAGCATAACATTCCTGCATCAAAGTTTTCGACGTTGACGTAGTCATTATAAGTGAATGATTATAGAAAATTATTTAAGCTGCCCAAACATAGGAGTTGAAATCTGAGTGCACTCATATGATTTGATTCAAGTTAGAAGACTAAAAATCTGTATTCTGCTATCCAAATATTTTGTGAAACGATAACAGATACATACAACACATATGCAACTACTACAAAACTTTGCCGTTTACCTTACACAACACTAACGTTGCTATTATTGTCAGTGTTAAAACTTTTGGTACTCTATGTATGTAGATGTAAATGCCACCTCCACATTTGTAACAATCTGGGCGAATATGTGTGTGTCTCTGAGTGTGATAAAAAAATGTCGAATGTTGCGTAATACAATTTTGCCGCCTATTTCGGTTTCGACATACTTAAAAATGCTTTAAAACCCCTTAAGTTATAAAACTACGATTACATACACGTAGTTATCTCATTTAGGTTCAAAAACACTAGTAGTCTTCTTTTGGTAATTTTATTAATGATTACTAAAAGAAGAGATTCGGATGTATTAAGTTTGAAGTTATCTTATTCTGCTTAATTCTATCAAAAATACTTATTTATAATAAGAGGCGGACCGGGGAAGCGAAGCGGGGATGTCACATTTCACATGAGTAACATTTTTATTTAATCTTTAGATCATATTTATTTCTTTTACTTTTTGTAAACATAAATAATAATTCATAAAAATAAATATAAAATAATTGCACACAAATTTGACTGCATTATGTGTGGATTTGTCCACTAAGAAGTTTTTATCGAAAGTAAACGAAGGAAAAATATAGCTTTGTTAACTTAGTATTAAAAGGCAACTTCAAGTCAACTTGGGTTTAAAAAGTTTAACGAATGTTCACGTTTTAAAGTAAATTCGTTGTTACGTAGATGCGATAGATGTTAGTATAGGATTTAGTCTCGAAGCGAGGGAAAGTTTCTACATTTGAGCTCAGTGAGAGCAACGAGAAGGTATTGAATAAAACGGTCAACTTTGCAACGTGTGACTATGTTACGAAGTTTAAACTAGTGTAAAGGAGCAGTTTAAAAGTTTTTTCTTTACTACGGTATTAATTGTTTCGTGGCACATACATTGTTGTTACGATCTTTGACATCAATCTTAAATAGTATTATTCATACGCAAGGCATAATATTTCTTATCTATTCACATTTTGAATGGATTTGGATGTAATAGAAAGATTGAAGTCATGATATAACACATAGTTTACTTTTTATCCCAACCAAATTAGCATTAAAAC